ATTAATGAATCTGTATCTGTCATTAGAAATCTTTTATTCTTAAATTTTGACATATAATTATAGTGGAAATCATACATTATTACTTTACTAATATCTAAAATGGTCATTCCTAAATATATAGGTTTATTAAACTTTACAACTAATTTATTTAAATGTATGGCATGTAAATTGTTATCAAACTTTTTGCTACAATCAAACCTTGGATTAGTGACATATTTTGTTAATAGTGACTCATCCTTGAGATATATATCACGAAACTTGCGTTGATTCATAATTGTTCGACCAAAGAGACTATTATTTAACAATTTGTAAAAGTCTTTTTCGAAATCAGTTTTAGCACTTTTTCGTTTTTCAATATTAAAATTAATATAGGGTGCAAGCCATTTAGATTGTCTAAATTTTAAAATTCTGTGGTATTTTGTAACAATCAAACCCAATTCCTCATATTTTTGTAATGCTTTATAATGTAAAATATATTTAGTTTTGTCATTTAAATTTGGTATTAATTTGCCATTCATTTTCTCTGGTGCTAATGGATAGTCATTATGTAAATCATGTAAGCTTTTATCATATTTTAAATCAACTTCTAAAATGTATCCAAACTCATCATTTTGATTATATTTGTAGTCCATCTCATTAGTCCAACGGAATTCATCCACAGGCAGTGGCTCGCACATAGCTGTGGAGTATAGCGAGTTACAATCTAAATATATTAAATACACACTCTCTTGATTGGGATCATAGTGTTCACCCATATATCTATTATTTGCTTTAGCGTAACGTGTAGAAATCATACTGACTCCTCCTCGAATCGCACTTTCTATGAACAAATGCATGTCAATATCTTTGAATAATTGTAATTTTATTCCTGTCATTCTAAGACAGGCCTCCCATGTAAGTCCAGGAAGTGAATACATATGTACAGGGTCAAGTTTGTAATCTTTTAAACACAGGTCTCTAAATGTCTCAAACACATCAGCCAGTAGCAATACATCTGTTTTAAGATATAAATCATGATATTCTTGTAAATTATTTATATTAAAATGGGTCCATACATTTTTAGCATGTTCATATTCATTGGGAGAGATATGTTCTTTAGTTATAGAACTGTAAAATGTTTCAATTGGGGGTAGAGACTCTGCAAACTTATCTGGTCCCGTCATATATTCATAGGGATATACACCTTTACGTTGTAGTAGTGGATTTTGTATGAATCTTAATGTGTTCAAATTGGAAGCCAATTTATATAATGGAAGGGACAGAAAGTTGTATGAATCTAAAAATACTAAATCATCTACAGAGAATGATATATATTTTTCCATATCTTTAGCTATACAATTTAATTTACGTTTATTAAACTTTCCCAAATGTTGCATTATTATGTGACCATCATAATTTTTCAAGTTATGGAAGAATACTGGTATTTTTGTTGTTGTTTTATAATTTAAATTACAATCATTGTGGGCAGCTCCACGGTATTGGCCAGAAGAATGGCAATGATCTCTCACCCTATCAAAATATAGGGGCTTTTCACAAATGTGACAATGCGTTGAGTTTTGGAAACATGCCTCTTGTTCAGGAGTCATTTGAAGAGGAATATATATTGCCATTTGATTTTTAATATAATCATAAGTTTGAAATAATCTTTCAAAAAACACGTCCATAACATTTGTGCCACTATACAACTCTTCAGAAATAATTTTTGAATCTTTTACTACGACAAATGCAAATCCCGATGGAGTATGTATATTGGAGTTTATAAAGCATTCAAAATCTGCATAAATCACAAATGGGGCTTTAAGTTGATATTTATAATTTTTAAATTGTAATGTATCTTGTTTAGACATTTCCACTCGTTTTGCATCAAAGTTTTTACAATATATTGTATGACGTCCTAATATATCATTAGTGTAAAAATGTAGCAAACACAACTTGCAAAAATGCTTTTTATGGTCATCTTTTGTAGAGTGGAACATTAACCTATCAAAATCACGAATTAAACAGTAATGTGATTTACGACCTTCTTGTAATAACAATAGATCTACATGAGTATTACTAGTATTTAGTTTAGTTGTTCTTAATGGATGTATAAATTTATCATATTCAACCCCAAATACATTAACACTTATATTATTCTGTGTTTCAAATTTATCTATATCAGATATTTTTACTGGATATTTTATATTTGCCATATTTAACTGACTTTCATAGGGTACATAATTAGAAATCCTTTCAGCATGTTCATTAGAGTTCCTTGGATGTAAAGCTGCTAAAATCGACCAAAGAAAGCATTTATTATCATAATTCTTTATATTTAAAACAGCATGTTTTGATTGAATACTTTTTGGTGTGGGGATATATGACTTTGGAGTTAGGGGTTTATACTTGTAAACGTGCAACTGCCAATATTTAGTATGGTCATATATCCATCCACTGCCTTGGGCTTGATATTTGTGTATGGAAGCATCAATCTTTAAAAGTGCATTTTCAATTTGAGGCTTTAAATCTCTCTTCTCAATAGTTAAGATAGTAAGGCTTCTAAAATCCGCAATACAATCTTTCTCATTAACTAATTTTCCATTTTGATCCATTGAATATTTTATAAATTTGATTCTCCTAACTAACGTCCATTTTATCGGAAGAGGACAAGACTTCAGAGTATTTTCAAGATCAGCTCTAATCGATTCACCAACAAATTTAATCATTGTGTATGGACACTTGTTGCAAGAATTGACATGTCTTCTAAAATGTCCAACAATATTTTTCTTACAAAAACTACAACTCTTGTGACTTTGTAATATATGTGATTTTAGAGCAATGTTACTATCACAGATTAAATTACAAACTTTACATACATTCATTTGATGAATTACCTTGTAGTGGCGAATCAGGTTACTTTTGGTGGAGAGCAACATGGAGCAGTGTTGACAGGTGGGCCTCATTTTTATATATAACAAAAAACAATTTGTGTCACTTCTATTTATAGACTTTTCGAAAATTTCAAAATTTTGGAAATTTTAAACATTTTCAGCTAGAAATTAAAAATTTGTAAAAGTTACTTCAACAGATCCAAGACTAGCAAGGAGCAAGCCCAAGTGAGTGACGTTTTCACCACGTCACCACTAGAGGCAAGAAACAACCATGAGCCGGGAGCACACCCACGCCATGAGCCGAGTTCGCACATACATGATTTTGAAATAGAAATATAATATATCAACTGGAAAGGGGCATGGTAGATGTACTTGCAATTGTGCATGGGGCAGAGGGGAATGGTGAGGGGGGAGGGGGGAGTTGGCCCAAAAACCTCGACCCCGCTCCTCAAATAAAACGGCAGCAACAATCTGATTATTGAAATTCAACACGGTGTTGCTCCTGCTCCATCAAATATATATTAAAACCAAAACAATCGAGTAAAATATCGTGTACACATGGTGGGGTGCTATGGTACAATTGGGGGTTGCACCTGATCCTGATCCAGTGAATAGCGTTTTTACACTACTATACTATGGGACAGTTGGAGGGGTGCACATGCTCCTGGTTCATTGAATAGTGTTATTACATAGAAATATATATATTTAAACCAAAACAGATACACAATAAACTGTACACATGGTAGGGTGCTATGGTACAATTGGGGGGTTGCTCATCCTGATCCTGCAGTGAATAGCGTTTTTACACTACTATACATATACACATGTATGAGTCAATAAATGAAATAATTAGCTTTTTTTAGCTTAATACCGAATATATATATAGAGAATAAGTAAAAAATAAGGTTTGACAATTATATAAGGATTTGCAGGCAAAGATCAGGATTTTAGATTTGGTGGCCAAAAATAATCCCCATAAGAATAACATGGGAAAAACGTGTCTAAAGTGGGGTAAAACCGGTAGTTCTCCACTACTTCAATATATGTCCAGATAAAACACTAAACCACTAAAACACTAAACCAGGGGGGATGATCTGGTCTAGAGGTTAGAGCACGGGACATCGGTCCCTGAGGTCCTGGTCAGTGATATGGCATCAACCCTTAGGTCTAGCTTTAAGTAATGTGAAAAACAATTGTGTCTAGCTTCCTAAGAAAAAAAAACTAAAAGTTGGTCCAACGATTACTATCGTCTATTAATGTTTATTACTATCATGTTCTATCCCTTCGATATGGTAGCTTGCTTTACTTTAGTAAACTACCGATTAAAGTGTGTTTGCTGTTGTTGTACCCGTTTATTAAATTAATACAAAGCATTTCGTTACCTTGCAACATCCTGGATGAACTATGTGTTTCATGGTTACTGTTACATCCTCAAGTTCAACCTCTTTTATAAATCGTCATACTATTTACAATTAATTACAAAACATACGTTGATATAGACACAAAGTCTGACGCAGGGCGTGCACCCGTTTGGCTGGGTGACTAAGCTATCTAAGAATATTGTAAGGTGACATAATACTTTATACTGATATAACTAAATATAACTAAATACCTAAATTGGATTTAAAAATGCATTCTGGTTAGTTAAAACATTCGTTACTGCCGTAAAAATACGAAATTCGAACTGGGGGAATCAAGCATATGTCACACATTTTGAATAACTGTATTGACGCCTCTGCATTTTACTTATAAAATTTTTATTTAAAATAAGACCTTTTTAACAGCTAGTGGACCAATTTGAGGTCAAATAAGTCCACTAGCTGTTAAAGGCTTCTCATAGTTGGTTTTCATTAGTTTCCATCACCGTGATAGTTTAATGAGGGTATAAATTATTTGATGGTTTTACTAAGCTGGCACGATTCAATGGTTTGTTGTTCACAACGGCATTTTACAAAAAACATATTCTGTTAATGGCTTTTATAGAATTGTATATATTATAAAACTGATTCCACGTTAAACATCTATATTTCACTTTTATTTCATGGTAATGTTTCGTTGGTTAACACCCAGGCTTGATTAATCTGTCAAGAGAAGTTCAAAAGAGTATTTCAACATATTGTTCTGTTCCAGGACCTGTGACGATAGGTGACGGGTCTCACACAACCCCTCATTGGCTCTTGCTTCTGTCGACCTTGACCTTGACCCTGACCTTGGTCGGGAGATAACCACTATCACCCTCGGTCCGGTAGACCGAATGACTCTTGGGGTATGGGCTGTGTTATCCAAAGATCTTGCTTAACGATTCGTTTGGTTTTTGACCCCTGTTGTTCATAATGTAATTAAAACTGTCCAATGTAAATAGTCAAAGTCCTGGCTTTATATTTGTAAAATAGTTGTTAAAATATTAAATTTTGTTGAATAAATGTGATTTTAAGATTGGTTAAAATGATTTTTATACCTTGAAACCAGGTGCTGGTGCTGATGTAAACAAATGTTTGTACTGTATTGATTTTACCTAATTAATGCAGCAAAAGAAAAAGAAGTTTTTAATAAATTTGTGGACGAGTAAATAATAGCCGTGTTCTATCTTAACAGATGTGATAATGTATGATAACATAATAAGATGCATAAATAAAACGTCACTCTCGGAACTGTAATTATTTCTTTTTTAATTATTTCTTTATTATTTTTTTTCTATGGTTTCTTTTTTTACCTACCAGTTGGTTATACATTGAAATATAAATATTTATTACATTTCAATTAATTCTTTTGGAGGTTCTTTTAGAATTTAAAAGAAAAATAAACCATTATAGCTCTTTTACAATGAGTAGGTTAATTATTAATAAGTATAATAGGGAGACGGTGAAAATAGATTTACATATTTTAAAAATATTGAGTTATGTATATTTTCTGTACAGCAACACTTGACACATGGATTAATTTATTTCTATGCTAACAGGTAACTTGCTATCATGGAATGGACCAGTATAACCTGCATTTTCAAACAATAACAAACATTGATCTGGAATGCAATATTCAAAGAAAGGATTTCATGTACTAGAAGTCAAGTGGAGACATGTTCAGGAGTAGTCATTTACTGTAGGAAACTCTATACAATGAGTTGTATAGTGAACGATTTTTCTGAACGAGCTTTTCAAGTGGATAAGCTCTACTCCACAATTCGAATGAATCGATAGTACTGTAATTGGTTTACAATGCTAGGTTAGGAACAACCACTAGACTAGTATACTACAATGCAACATATATTAAATTAAACACATGACTGGAAAATAATACTACTAGTTTACCTATGTTATATAATGTTTATATAACAGTCTTATATTTTATGTAACAAGGGACGTGTTTTTCTGAATCATTTATATTGTATTGTATTTGTATTGTATCAACCCACTACCTCAATAACCTAGTCCCATGACAATTCCATGTTCCATGTTCGTGTCTGGATGTAGTTTCGTATGTGTTTACCTGGTGAGTCACCAATGCCAGTCAGCACACCATTATTGGTTTCAGTTTGATTGGTGTCAAGATATTACAAGGAATAAAATTTAGGTAACATTTAATATTAACGCTGTATTTAGATTCATTGAGTCTTAAAAAAAATACGTATGAGAATATTTGTCATTAACTTATTGTTTTCTGCATCCAATAATAATAATGTCTGTCTGAAAAAGGTATTCAACATATTTTTTAAACACATTAAAATTATCTAGCAATGTTATCTTTTTTTAATCTTTCCACTTAATCAAATTTAAAAAATAAAAATAAAAAATATTTAATTATGAAATCTATATCTATAAAGAGGATAATGTTCATCTTGTGTATTGCCTTCCGGATTACTTCATGAATGTACAAGAGGTTAAGTTACCTTGATTCAGTCCAAGTAATCCTTAAGTCGTCATTATAGTGCGACCATTTTCGATGTCTATGGCATCATTGTCAAGCTGAACGTAAAAATCGCTCCTAGGAGGTCGTCATGAGTCTTGAAACACACGTAACACGTAGCGCATAACACCTACATAAACAAAAAACGATAAAATGCATGGCCACACAACTAATTTACAACACGGTGGCGGGTATAGGGTGTAGGTCTAGACTGACGCCGTGTCTTCCTCTCCCCACCGATTGGTCATTGGATAATGTTCTATAATGTTCTTATATTTCAAGTTGTAGGGGGTAGGCTAGTAACTAACTACGTTTTAGATTTTCGTGTCTTTTATAGCCCACTGGGTACAACGATAGCTAAGGACAAATATATTTCTTGAAAATTAAAATGAATCATTACAGTTGATCGTTGCACTAGGTGTATAATCATAATTTATCAGAGATTTGAGCTTGTCCAAAATAGTAGGACCTAAAACCAGATTAAGCCTTTTGGCTTTCGATTGAGTAAAGTAAGTGTAAAATAACATTTGTCGGAATAAAGGTTTTTTTAAATGTAAATCAGGTCATTTTAAATTTCTGGTTAAACGTAAACATAGCAATATTATCTTTAAATAATTAGGTTACAAACTGCTTTACCTACCAAAAGGCATGTGTTTAGGGGACTCCAATTCCATAAACACATGGCTTTTTGGTGGGCACGGCAAAGCTTAAAATGAATATTGTGTTTAAAATATAATTATTAAAATATTTTAAAATTTTCAACAACCGAAACCTAATATGAAGTAAAACAGTATTTTCAGGTGAATCATCTTGATATTAGCCATTATAGTACAAAAATAAAACCATAAACGTGCAATAGCCAAAAATAAATGTTCTTTATAAATGTTGAACGATAGTATTTTGCTCAAAAATAACTTGTAAATCTATGCTTTACTAATAAAACCCCGTTTTTTTCGATATTTTACAAAACTTTCTAATATATTATGTGAGTGGTTATTTTCTTATATTTAAAGACGAACACTATTTTAAAATTACATTTACGAACTTGAAAATAAATATTCAACTAATAAGCTAAGCGTGCCAAAAATTACCAACCAGAAATTAAAAGAGCTTTAAGGACCACCTACAAGTTGTCGGGACGAATAAAACACTACAGTTTAGTATGCTGGAGTCGCATTAAAACAGAATTGGATTTTCTTATCTACCATTGTCACACCAGCTTACATGAAAATATACATTTCATTTCATTTACTCTTTGGCATTCACTTGATAGTATTTTTTTTTTATTTCTTGTATGATGGTGATTCTTATTTTTAAAAATATAATCCTGTATTTTATTATATAAAAATCACGTTACTGAGAAAATTTAATACACGGTATAAAAAATCTTTCACATGTTGATCTTTTGTGTTAAAACATCTGCTAAAATGTTTAACATTTCTATATTTTTATAACGTATTACGCTAAGTTATCGTAATAGATGGTTTATAGGATGAAATTGAGTTGTTTCATTGAACTAAAATTAATATAAAGCATTTAATGAAAAGAATATAATTAATAATAATACCTTAACTATTGTTACTTCTGAAAAGGGGTATTTTTACTACAACCAAATTTAACATTTAACGAATTTCATAAAAAATAATTAAACAAAACACTAGTGATTGGAAAGAGCATTACGAGTCTGATTTATATGAACAACTTTGCTCTCAAATATTCTATAAATTATATCTAAATTGTTTTCAAAACGTAAAATATTTACTGTATAAAATATTATGTTCTAATGTATTAGAGATGTTCTAGTGTATAAGGGAGTTTCTGGTGTATAAAAGATATTTTTTGGTGTATAAGACGTGTTCTGGTTAATTTGAGATGTTTAGATATTTAGAGATGTTCTAATTGCAGAAGGTCATTTATTTATTCTAAAGAAATACTTAATCCACCTCCTTTAGAAACCAATAGCCAGCCTTCCAAAGGTTGGTGGTGTAGATTAATTTGATTTCAGAGTAGGGAGCTTCAATAGACTCGTCACCATTTTGATCTATTCAATGTTCCTAAAGTGCTTACCATTTGACTATGGGTTTAAAAATATGATCATGTAAACGTCAGTCATTCGGACTACTACTAGTTACTTACATCTTTTCACAGCCAATGCAATGTACACAATTGTAAAATCCAATAATCCTGGTTATTTGTAGAACAATTTGGAATCCCAATCAGAAGAGTAAACTCAAACTTGAAGGTAGTATGCCGTGCTGAAGTTTTTTCATATTTGACTGGAACCTGTGCAATAGTATATTTCGTACCTAGGGCCGAAAATGAGGTTTTGCCGGCTCGAGATAGTTTTTAAGTTCGAGACGAAGTCGAGAACTTAAATCGATCGAGAGCCGCAAAACCATTTCGGTCCGTGGTACGAACGCTATTTTTCACCACACTATACCCTATTACCACTATTCACCACAATAATAATGCACACTGATAGTCAACACAACTACAACTTTAAGGTTATGTGAAGAAATAATTTGAGGAATCAGCAAAAATAAAAATATATAGTTGCTAGGCAACGGTGACAATAACACAATTCTATTGAAATGCTATGGATTTTGATTATGTATTTAAAATGCATTCATGTTTTAAGTAAGTAAGCGGACAGCTGATTTTGCGGCCCCGGCCTGTAAAAACCTGCTCGGTCCCCAAATTATGGACAGCTGGCATCGCCAGCAAAACGTAACTTTCGGCCACCAATTAACGTATGTAATACAGCCAAAAACATGATAGTGTGGTGAAAAACAATTTTAACAACTGCCATGAAATTATTTTATTGAATATTTAGTTGGAAACACTTAATGAGAGGTGTTTATCATATGTATTTCACTTACACAATATTTATTATATATTTTAACGTCATACTAAAGCAAAAACAGCGATTTAATGCATTGTTTTGTGGGTCTAAAGTAGCTCCCTAGGGAGTAAAAACTTGTTTTTCTCTAGGGATTTTTTATTCTCTAGGGAGTACAAATCAGCTGTTGTAAACAGTCTGGTTTTTCTACTGTTGGTCTAAGAAATCACATGTATCACAATTATTGGTCAATTGATTTAATTGGTGTTGCTTATTGTTGCATTTTTGTCAATAGTTTGACACATTGATAGTATAATGTTCACCACCATAATTGTAATAGGTGAAATAATTGAACTACTTACTGCAACTGTTTTGCATTAGCAAAATTATAAACATGTCAGACATCATTTTTAGATGTTAACCTTACTTGAAAAGTATATTCGTTTTCTAACTTGGTTTGATAATAATAATGTTGCAATATGACGAAAAATATAGTTCATCACACAAGTAAAAAGTGTCTTTTCGACCCGAACTCAAGTTTTACGACCGGTTTCCAGACAAGTGTTTCTTAGAGTTGCTATTTTGAGATTAAGTGTTGTAAATGGTATAAAACATTCCAATTAAGATTTATTTATTTA